AGTCAACCTTGAGCCTGGTGGGATTTGAACAGCCGAACTGCAGAACTAGCAGTCAGCTGAAGTAGCCTGCAGTGCTGCATTTAACCACTGCGCCAACGTAACAATATTATGATCACTGAAGTAAATTGATTCCAAGCCTGGTTAGATGAACACCCTCTATTATTGCAAAATTACAAAAAACATGGGGAAGAATATTATATGGAGGGAGAGATGAGTTCTTTCTAAAGGTAGAAGCAGCACTTGCTGAATGACCAAGCTAAGCTCTGGAGTCTTCTGTTGGAGGTTGGTATGGCAGATGAGTGGGGAAGAAGTGAGAATCCAGGTTAAACTTTACCCCACTCCCCCATTTCTGTTGTGTTTCCATCAAACCATTATGTATCTGGCAAGTTGTAAGCCTTACCTGGACTAGAGTCACTGTGTACTAAACTTAAACCATTTTGTGGAATCTTAATTGGGAAGTGAGAACTCAGTGCTTTAAGTTGCCTTTCAAAATCTATTCATAAAATTCTGTTTGAGCTTTGATTATGAGGATACTATTGGTACTTCTCACTATTTAATTCTTCAGTTGACATCAACATTGGGCTATTACTGATGTGCAGCAACCGGCCACTAAATGGGCTGTTTTAATGACTGAAATAGTATTTTGTTCTGGTACTTGATATATTATTTATAAAAGTTAGGAAACTAAAGGAGGATTTTTAAAAAAAACTTTGAGCTTTTATGTAGTGGGCTATATTGATGGTGCGGAAGATATTTCTGAAGGCAGTAGTTTTATGTCATGGCAGTCAGTCATGAGTGCATATGGATTGCCAAGTGTCCTGGTACCAATCTTCCCATGGGGTGAGTGGGGTATGACTACTGGAACAGTCAGACTTCCGAGGACCTGTCGTAAATCTATTTTTTTCATCACTGTCATAACTGTTCACTCAACGAATGATCATAGGACAAGGACTATATTACCATTGAAGAGTTGAAGTGCAGCAGCAGAATTGACTTAATAATAATATAAATTGACTTAAAAATTAAAATCCCATGGTATCCCATAGTGCAGTGTTTCTCAACCTTAGCAACTTGAAGATGTCTGGACTTCAACTCCCAGAATTCCCCAGCCAGCGTTTGCTGGCTGGGGA